CCGATATTTCTGCTTGGATTTTGTTGATTTTTGAGTATGTTGTAGCTGAGACAAGTTTCCACGAGATTTATGTAGACTATCTAACATTATCATGACGTTATCATAGTCAAAAATTCAATCAAAGGTGACATGTCAATTATCATATATAACAATCCTCAATCGGATACCTGAAGGGGGCGCTATACCACTTTCAATCATGGTCATCTGGAAGGCATTGTTCTCAATTGCATCTCTATCTCTCTCCTCTCTCTTGCTCTTTTACTTCTCCTCTCATGTTCTGCCCCTCTCCTTTTTTGGTCTGTCTCTGCATATATCTATCTCTCTTCTCTTTCACCCTCTTCCTCTCTCTCTCTCTCTCTTGCCTTGCGTCCCTCTTATTCTCTTGGTCTGTCTCCCTGTGCCCTACAGTTGAAACTTGACTCATGGATAGACCATAATGGGAGTAGTAAACGAAATATGAAATCGTGAAAATGCGTTCTTTATTATGTTACACATGAGCATACGTATCACCTAATTCGTCAAAGTGACGAATTAAAGTCTAGTTTATAATTGTTATTTTTATTTTTTATTTTGTATGTACTATTATTCTGCTTGGGTCTAATTTCATCCTATGTATTAACTTTACTTCTCATCTTGCCTTTCTCTCCTTCAATTTTCCTTCCTCTCCCCCCCCCTCTCCCCCCCCCTCTCTCTCTCTCTCTCTCTCTCTATCTATCTCCCTCTCTTGTTTCTCTCTGACCCAGCTGTAGCTGTATATGTATTCTCTCCCTCCTGTTGTTGTACATGCAACAGTATACAATGCAATTTATTTTATTCTAAGGGGTCGAATTCACAAGATCTTTGAGTAGATCTTTAATCTGATCCCCACTCAATTTATGTTATTTGTGTTGTCATCTACTGATTTTGCTATGTCCATTTTTTTTTATATTTGTTATACATGTATGCGTTTATTCGCAATTCTATGTGTTTGTTTTTTATATTGAGTGAATAAATTATTTGAATTATTTGAATTATTTGAATTTTGAATTTGAATTTTTCAACGGCTGGTTCAAATTATCTAATATTTGTTGTGGTACACAAATATTAGAAATGGTTATATTTATGGATATTTCAGCCGTCTCTGAACCGATTTAGATCAAACAAAGATTTGACACTCAGTTTTTCATTATCTCCCTATCCTAGAAGTTTAACCCGTAGGAGATATGCATTTTTGTATTGAATTCTTTTTAAACCCTCTACTAAAACCATAATATGTGGATTTATCTCTAACTGGATTTAAAGAGAGTTTCAAAGTTTCAAAATACAAATGATTATTTTGAGAGCAAAGTTCTTGTTTTGGTTGATAAAAAAGCCCGGCAGACCGATGAGGATAATGATAAGTATTGAAATGCTTTGTAAACATTTAATAAAGAACTTTTGGCAGTTGGTTTTTATTTAATTCTAGAGAAATATTCCCAGATGATGACTGTATAAATCTTTTATCCTTAGGATCCTATGTGTGTAAACAAGTGCATCTGTGTGCGCTCGAAAATCAGAAGGACATCCAAGGAGTTTTTAGAGATGGAGACCCAACTGGCAACAAATTATTCCAAGCAGCGGCCGTTTTCTATGGTTGCACAATATAATCTACTCGTGTGTTGTTACCTTTGATGTCCGAGTTTCGAAGTCGCCAATATCATTGGAAAGCTTGAGGAGTGATTTTTGTCACAAAGAAATATCCGTAATATTTCACTTTGTATATGAACTAACAAGGGGAAAATTGAACATAATATGATAAAATATGAATGCAAAAGCCTAATTGTGTCAAGAAATGTGCTTACATTAATGATAGCAGCTTTAATTTGTGAAATATAGTAAAAATTCACAGTCCTAAAACCTGCAATTTGACACTTTTCCGATTACTTGCGGCTTATGAAAATTATGTTCATGTACAGTTCACATGTTACAATAAGTAATACAATAGCAACATACAAGTTGCTATGTCAGACATGCTGTAGCATCACCAGGAAGACAAAGGCAATGGTGATGTATTGTACATTATGTATGGAAGCATGCAATTCTATTACGAACGTGTGCTAAGCTTGGGGAATTACATACCATTGTCTATTCTAGAATATTAGTTAGTCTGAAATGTCTGACATAGCAACTTATATGTTGCTATTGTTTGTGGTATTGTAACAGGTGCTCAACTTTGGCAAACTTACATGCCACTTTCTCAAGTTATATCAGTGATGATTGACAGATGATGTCACTAGGGAAATCAGATCTGGAGGTTTTTGGGGTGGAGCAGCAAGTTTGAAGAAAAATATTTAGAAAAATATTTAAAAAATCTATGAAACAAATTCAGAAGTTTACATATCAAAATATGAGATGTATGCAGGACTGCACACCAACAGGAATACACTTGTATTTCGATGTCATGGGCCCTTTGACATGCGTGTCTAAGGAATTTTGACTCTTTGACTTTCTTTCTATACTTGTGTTTGACTTTCTGAGGAATGTTTATCAATTTTATTTAATTCTATCAATTCTATCAATGTAGACAACTTCATGCAAAACAGATTTGAATAAAAAGATTTGTGTTACCAGGGAACAGAGATAAATTACAAAACATTTTTAACTAGAGAAATAGAAACCAAGTCACATTATAGTATTATTTCATCATAAATACGTAAAACTGTTAACATAATTGTACAGCAAACATAATCATAGTGCATAGGTATAATTGTCTTTAAAACTTTTAACGGTTGCTGATATTATAGTAAGATTGCCAATAACCATGTCCCCGGTTCGTTAAAGGGGCAATCCACTCGGATAATAAGTTGGTTTAAAAAAAAAAAAAAATAGATTACAATTGTTATTCAAAATCCGATCAGAAATAGGAAAGTAGATTTCGTGGAAAAACGATACATGTATTAGAAACTGCTAGAGTATGCAATTTCATGAGGAAAAGGCATTTTGAATTTTAAAAAGTTTTTCTTCGTTTCGCTTCGCTTGCTGACAATATTCTGACAGAGACGTGCCCTAATATATTTCAAATCTTTAATCCGAAATTACATTTTTTACCGCCCTCATAACATTTAGAAACAGGTTAAATCTGGGCAACGAGATGCTCGAATATCCTCATATACGTTTATCGAGGTCATGACCGAATATATGATTTTCTTATTCAGGCATTCGTTCGTTCGTGTCTCCTTAGATCAAGATTAATGTAATCTTGATCTTCGGAGTAGTTGCTACAACCGGCCGTGTCAGACACGTTGCCCCGGGGTGCGAGATAGGACTCTTGTAGCGTGCCCCCATTTAAAACAATTATACAATTACAGTTAACATTACATTTAATTAATAGTATGAAACTATTAAAATTACTCTCATATTACGGGAAAAAATATTGCATATATATATACATATATTATGAATCAATTGATTTGGTCGATCCAGTTCGATGGCACAAACACGGCACTACTGGACAGAGATCCTAATAATTACAGAGCTTGGTCTTGTTGCTCTGTTCGCCAGCAGTTCAAGGATATGGAATCCTGCGGCACATTACTCACAAGGGTTCTAACAAGCCAAGCTTATACAGAGCCTATAATAAGTAATGTCGTGCATGAACCACCCATCCGATCGATCAAAAACTCATAACTCATAAATGAATTTAAAAAAATGAAAATGAAAAAAAAAGAAAGTAAAAAGAAAAGAAAAAACTAAAATTTCATAGTTGTGATAAATATCTATAAAGATTTATCAAGCACCAAAAATAAATAATATCATGTTCAAGAAAAGGATATATACACTTTGTATTCTTCTTTCGTGTCCTCAAATGCTCTGCCAGACCTTGGCACACTGAAGAGCCTTCTCATTTGCTGCCACCAGGTCTTCCAGGCAGCATTGGTCAATTAGGAGTGGACATCTTAATAGGTGTGACATGGATTGCACGGATGTTCCACACTCGCAGTTGGTGTCTGTGTCGTCAGTATATCCCCATTTATTCATGTTGTATTTACATCGCCCCCACCCCTGTGCGAAGCCTATTGAGGGACTTCTACGTCTTCCAATCACATCTATGGCCAGGGGGCAGCTGTTCCTTGGTCGGGATTGGTAGCTTTTCATGGTGGTGGTTTTCACAACGTTTTTCTTTCCACAAGATCACTCTGGTTGAATGAGGAGGTTGTGAGAGTGGCTGGACTGTATGAAGGAAGCTTTTCCTTGACTTCAGGCGGGTAGGGGCCGGTTGATGCGAGTAAAGGGGATGGCGGGTGTCCTCAACTTGTCTGCTGCGTTCAGTCCTACTTGCAACTGTCCTGCGGACATCGGATGGAGCAATGCCGACCAGGGAGTGCAAGCTGTCCACATTCGTGGGCTTGAGGCAGCCAGTGATGCATCTGCAGCTGTCGTTGAGTACTGCATCAACTTTCTTTGTATGGGATGATCTTCCCCATACAGGGCAGGCAAATTCTGCTGCAGAGTAACACAACGCAAGAGCAGTTGACCTCAGCGTGGAGGAATTGGCACCCCAAGATGAGTTTGCCAGTTTCCGTAGGAGGTTGTTCCTTGTCCCAACTTTACCCTTCACCTTTTGAACATGCTGTTTGTATGAAAGGGTTCGGTCAAGAGTGATTCCAAGGTAGACAGGGTGATCGCAGGCAGATTCGGCGGCGAGGTGCCCGCATACAGTTCTTAATATTTGTTTCTACTGTGTTTTCCCCGAGAGAAATTTGCCTCGGAGTAATTGGCCAATGGGGCAATTGTCCTTCGAGGTAATAACCCTGGGATGATTGTTCTCTGGGGGGGGGGGGGGGGTTATTGTCCTAGAGGGTAATTTTTCGGTGGGTTGCTGTCATTGGGGGGATTGTCCAGGGGGTAATAGTCCTGGTAAGGTATGTACATGGGTGAGTTGTTAAAACAATATTCTTCCTATACAGTAGGCTTGCGGGTGCACCATGTGAGAGAGAGAGAGAGAGAGAGGGGGGGGGGGGTTATATATTCTTTCTGTAAGAGAGCTCATTTTCAAATGTGCTTATTTCATTTCCCCTCACATTGCATCCTTAGTGTCTTAATTTATCATTATATTTCTAATTTCAGATCCTGCTCACGATACTCCGTCAATGAAAACCGCTCCTCCCAATCTCTATATCAGGTAACGACGTTTTGAATTGGTTTTGTCGACATCATAATAGTAGATCAGTTAAAATATTTCCTGTTGCAGTTGTGGGGAGGGGGGGGGGGGGGTAGACCTAAACTTTGAATTGCACATTCATCTTCAATGAATGGCTCAAATAATTTTTCAGAAATACCTAACATCAAAATGATTAAAATTACGTTATTATAATTTCTGTTACAGAGACAAAGTTTCGAAGATAGTAAGACCATGGGAAATCATCCAGATTTATAAGAGGAGCATTGAACCGGAAGACTTTGATTTTGAGGTCAATGAAACTTTGATACGACGTCATAATAAGACGGAATCATTACCTGAACAACAGACATGCGCAGTGGTTGGAAACTCTGGAATATTATCTGACAGTAATTGTGGTAGAGCAATAGACAGTCACGATTATATCTACAGGATGAACCTAGCTCCGTTTGGACAGGAATATGGCAAAGATGTGGGATACAGGACTAATATCACAACATTAAACTACTCTCAGCTAAAGTCAATGGCTAAGTGTGCGAAGAAACGATTTGCTAAAATGTCACCTGCTCGTGCTTTGATGTTGACAAACATGAAATTATATAACCACTCTGTGATATGGTATCCCAAAGGCGGCTCTCGAAAAGGAAACATGAACGCTTTATCACGAGGAATGAAGGATATTTTCAATTTCACTGCTGGCTGGGCTTATAGTCCAGTGTCCTTGTTTGGTGCCGTTCCAAGGTATTATGTCATTAATAATGCTAAGAATATGGAAAAGAAAGGGACAAAAGTGTAAAAATGTCAGTAATTTTGTTTACCTCCGATATAACAGTCCTGTGGCATAAGGGAGTTTACAGAAAGCACATGGTACAAATGACCCCAAATATCCACATATCTTTTACACATAGAGAAGTTCCACTTTGAGCATCTTAGAATAATAACTGCCAAAGTCCTAGATGTGCTTCATGGATACCTTTTGTTTGCCCCCTTGAAAAGAATACTTCCACCTGCGTATCATAGAATGTACTTGGTGCATAAATGAATAAGGTTACATAACTTTTATGAGCGCATATCCAGTATTCATCTCTGATGGGTTTTACCATTTTGGTACAAATTACCTTTATCTGCCCATGCGCAGATTGTATCAGTAAATTCCCTTATTGAAGAGGACAGCCATATAGTACAGTGCGTATACAATACAAAAGTGCACACTATGAAAATATCTACCCAAATCATAATTTCACCATATATGCATGATATTGCATGGTTTACTCTAATCATTATTATTATTATTATTATTATGCTAAAAGGCAATTAGCTGATTAGTCTCTACGTAATGACTTCTTACTTGGAATGGTGATTTAAAAAGTTAATCTGGAGGTAATTATCCGTCGTAACATGACTACTGACTTTATTATAATTATTATCAGGTGGGCTGTATATTTATAAATAATATTGTTTTGATTATTTTCATTATCACTAGTATTATTATTGTTGTTGTTGATATTTGACTGTCAGTGTAAAAGTTATATATATATATATATATATATATATATATAAAAGGCTTCAGCAAAAGTTTATACAAAAAGTACATGTTGCAAGGATTTGAACGGTTTCAAAAGTGTAGCGTCCCAATCCTTTCTTCCTGTTCCACTGAAATAAATGCAAGTATCTTTCATTTTATCAGTTTTAGTGTAAAAGATAATTATACAAATTACTTAATTTTTAGCCTTTTTAGGGTATACCTAAAAATATAATATCATAACTGTAAAGGACAAGTGCTATGTTTGACCAATTGTGCGTAGAACCCTGCAATGGTGCATGGGACCAATGACGCTTCGTACCATAATTATGTTGTGCTTTGGAGGTCGTGGTGATTAGAGCAGTGACGCATAGGACCAGTGGTGTATACTAAAACTAATAGCGCATATATGACTCAAGATGCGTTCAAACTGGATGAATTATGCATTAGACAAATACCGCATAGGACAAGTGGGTATATACTAGAACCAATAGCGCATACGACTCCAGATGCGTTCACACTGGGTGAAATGTGTATTGGACCTATACCGCATAGGACCAGTGGTGTATACTAGAACCAATAGCGCATATGACTCAAGATGCGTTCACACTGGATGAAATGTGTATTGGACCTATACCGCATAGGACCAGTGGTGTATACTAGAACCAATAGCACATAGGGCTCAAGATGCGTTCATACTGGATGAAATGTGCATTGGACCTATACCGCATAGGACCAGTGTAAAAAGGACCGTTTACAACAATGATGCCTTCTACGACAATCTTATTAGGTGATACGTACGTAGACGTATATCACCTTTTGATTTCGTCAAGATCTTTATTATTTATTAGGTGATACGTATGAAATATACGTATCACCTTTTGATTTCGTCAAGATTTTTCTTTATTATTATTATTATTAGTTGATACGTACGAAGTCTACGTATCACCTATTGATTTCGTCAAGATTTTTATTTATTAGGTGATACGTACGTAGACGTATCACCTTTTGATTTCGTCAAGATTTTTATTATTTATTAGGTGATACGTATGAAATGTACGTATCACCTTTTGATTTCGTCAAGATTTTTATCAGGTGATACGTACGTAGACGTATCACCTTTTGATTTCGTCAAGATTTTTATTATTTATTTATTTATTATTATTATTTATTATTATTCTTCCTCGAATTTGTTCGCAGGATATCTCAAGACTGAATAAAGCCATTATTATTATTATGATACGTAACGAAGTCTACGTATCACCTATTGATTTCGTCAAGATTTTCTTTTTTATTATTATTCTTCCTCGAATTTGTTCTTAGGATATCTCAAGATTGAATAAAGCCATTATTATGAAACTCGCATTGATGATAGATCTAAGTCTAACTTAGAACTGCGTGACTTTTTAGAGAGTCAAAGTCATCGTGATGTCATCCAGGCGCCATTTTGTGAAAATCAACTTATGATCATATCTTCATAACGGATTGTAATTTTTCATTCATATTTATCATGATTAAGATCAATATCCGTCCGGTCAATTTCAGATCAATAAACGTGCAAAAATGCGCGCGTGCGCGTTCGTCCGCGCGTTTACGCGCGCTCAAAAATTTAAAATGCTCTAAATCATCTCAACTTTTTTTGCATACATTTCAGGCCATATGGAGCATTTGACAAAAAATCGCGCTCACGCGCATGCGCGCGCGTTTTTTGCGCGTACTAGCATTTTGCAACATAGAATCGTCGAATTTTCTCTATCATCATATTTGGCACATTTTTCCAAGCATTTTGATAACTTGTTCATCTTTTAATAACGCAATGAGCGTCCGTCAAAGTTGACAGCGCGCGCGGATTTGCGTTATCTTTATCCACACTACATGGGCAAAAACATGCCTATATAAAACTCATTGTAACTCTTTAGAATAGAAACTCCTAATATTTTTTCATATTTAGATAGATTATGAAATGGAGATATGATTTCATGTCTCATTTGACCCTCAATTAAGTCATAATGTCATCATAATGGCCTCCAAACTCAAATTTAAATTTGCATATTATGACGTTTGCATATTTTTGGAAAATTGATTGTATCTCTGTAAATACTGATTGTTTTTCTCCAAATTTTGATATGTTCTAGCTGAGATAATTTTCTACAAATGCAGTGTCCATAATTTTCCAGTTTGACAAAGGTATCATGGCGTATTTTTGCGATTAAAGGAGGCATGTTTATTTTTCACATTTTGCATGTATTGTCTATGGGACATGGCTATTTCTCAAAACTGGATTCTACATTTCCGTCTTAAGTTCGCGAGCAACATCTCCGCTGTTTAACCTTTTTTTACGCTGAGATTCAAGTATGTTGTAGCTGAGACAATAAGCTATCATAAATGTGACATTTAATTTTCGATCAGATGCCGGGATCATGCTCATATTTCACTTGCAAAGTAAGATTTCAGAATTCCATTTCCCGTTTACGTGTAATCGCTATGGGAGATGTTTTGGTATATCGGTATACGCACTTGACTTCCAAACTCGAGATCCCTGGTTCGAATCCGGGTGTCTCCAACAATATTTTTTTTCACTTTGTTTTCCTTTTGACCTTTCACTGTACCATCTCCTTTGATTATTAAAACACGTAGATTCGCAAATAATGTAATAAACAACCCTTTTTACTTTATTATTACCCTATTTTCACTTGATCCATTACTTTTTGCGTGTAATCCCTATGGGAGAAAACTTTTTCTCAAATCTGGATTCTACATTCCTGTCTTTTACGAGCAATGTCGCTGTTATTTCTGCATGGAATTTGTTGATTTTTGAGTAGGTTGTCGCTGAGACTTTATGCTATCTAAATGAACCCTCATTTTTGTAATAAGATGTCAGGATCGCGCTCATGATCATGATCATCTTCATTATCATTTATCAATTACATTTTCATTTCTTTGAATAAGATAAAATCGTCAAAAGGTGTTCTTCATGATGTAAATTAGAGTCAAATGTGTAACTGGTTACTGCACAGGGTCATATATTGTTTCAATCTATCTTCCCTAGATCCATGATGATCAAGGAGACACAATTTAATCTTGACATATGGATAGATCATAATGGGAGAAGCATATAAATGGGAGAAGCATTTTACAAAATAATATATCGTGTAATGCCTTATTCGTTATGTAAACCATTATCATACGTATCACCTAATTCGTCTAAGTGACGAATTAAAGTCTAGTTCTTCCTCGAATTTGTTTGCAGGATATCTCAAGACTGAATGAAGCCATTGTAATGAATCTTTCAATGATGATAGATCTTAGTCTAACTTAGAACTGCGTGACTTTTCAAAGACTCAAAGTCATCGTGACGTCATCCAGACGCCATTTTGTGAAAATCAACTTATGATCATATCTTCATAACGGATAGTAATTTTTCATTCATATTTATCATGATTAAGATCAATATCCGTCCGGTCAATTTCAGGTCAATAAACATGCGCAAATGCGCGCGTGCGCGTTCGTCCGCGCGTTTACGCGCGCTCAAAAATTTAAAATGCTCTAAATCATCCCAAATTTTTTTTGCATACGTTTTAGGCCATATGGAGCATTTGAAAAAAAATCACGCTCACGCGCATGTGCGCGCGTTTTTTTGCGCGTACTAGCATTTTGCAACGTAGAATCGCCGAATTTTCTCTATCATCATATTTGGCACATTTTTCCAAGCATTTTGATAACTTGTTCATCTTTTAATAACGCAATGAGCGTCCGTCAAAGTTGACAGTGCGCGCGGACCTGCGTTATCTTTATCCACAATACATGAGCAAAAACATGCCTATACAAAATTCTTTGTAACCCTTCAGAATAGATAAGAACTCCCAATATTTTTTCATATTTAGATAGATTATGAGTCGTAAATATGATTTCATGTCTCATTTGACCCTCAATTAACTCATGACGTCACCATATGTCCTCCAAACTCACAAATTTAATTTGCATGTTATGACGTCAGCATATTTTTTGAAAATTGATTGTATCTCTGTAAATATTGATTGATTTTCTTTCAAATTTTGATATGTTCTAGCTGAATCAATTCTCTACAAATTTAGTGGCCATAATTTTTCATTTTGACAAAGGCATCATGGCGTATTTTTGCGATTAAAGGAGGCATGTCAATTTTTTACATTTTGCATGTATTCTCTACGGGACATGACTATTTCTCAAAACTGGATTC